CGGTGTGAATGTTGGTGTGAATGTCGTGTGAATGTCGGTGTAAATGTTGGTGTGAATGTCGGTGTGAATGTCGGTGTGAATGTCGTTGTGAATGTCGGTGTGAATGTCGGTGTGAATGTAGGTGTGAATGTAGGTGTGAATGTCATTGTGAATGTCGGTCCGACAGCTACTGCAGACCGGTTGTTGAATTATATATTTTTTTATAGACTTCTGTTAGTATTGGAGATGATGGTGTGAATGTTGGTGTGAATGCCGGTGTGAATGTCGGTGTGAATGTCGGTGTGAATGTCGGTGTGAATGTCGGTGTGAATGTCGGTGTGAATGTCGGTGTGAATGTCGGTGTGAATGTCGGTGTGAATGTCGGTGTGAATGTTGGTGTGAATGTCGGTGTGAATGTCAGTGTGAATGTCGGTGTGAATGTTGGTGTGAATGTCGGTGTGAATGTGGGTGTGAATAATGGTGTGAATGTTGGTGTGAATGTTGGTGTGAATGTCGGTGTGAATGTCGGCGTGAATGTCAGCGTGAATGTGGGTGTGAATCAGTCCCTGTGGTGGACTGATGTGCTCGTGTGTCCGTGTGTTTCAGGCTGACGATGCCTTGGGTCCCAGCTGGAACTGGCTCTACTTCATCCCTCTCATCATCATCGGCTCTTTTTTTGTACTGAACCTGGTTCTGGGAGTCCTGTCTGGGTAACTGCACTCTTTATCTCTCGTTTCTTGTCTTTTTATTTATTTGTTCCCCTGACAGAGAATCCTTTTCCCCCTCAGAGAGTAAAAAAAAAAAACCTCTGGTTTTGGTTTGTTATTGCAGAGAATTTGCCAAGGAGAGAGAGAGGGTGGAGAACCGCCGGGCCTTCATGAAGCTCCGACGGCAGCAGCAGATTGAGAGAGAGCTGAACGGTTACCGGGCCTGGATCGACAGAGCAGGTGGCTTTACTCCCAGTCACAGCTACTAATTTGGTTCTTGATGAGAAAAGAAAAATCGATTCTTCTCCTTTGAGCCGGGAGACTGATCCTGTCGATCGTGAGATGTGGTTTTATCTGATAAAAAGCAGTTTGTTGTTCCCCAGCAGAGCGGCAGAGGTGGTTGGCAGTGATGCCACTTTGTCTTCACCACTTTTCTCAGTATCTTTGTTTGCCTTTCAGAGGAGGTCATGCTTGCTGAGGAGAACAAGAATCCAGGTCCCTCTGCTCTGGATGGTAAGAATGTTTTCAGTTTTTTTCTTCTTTTTTTTTCACATTGCATTTTAAATTTCACATCCAGAAAAGAAATTAAACGTCCATTTTTAAAATACTAACATTAACAGTATAACATCTGAGATTAGATTAGATTAGATTAGATTAGATCAGATCAGATTAGATTAGATTAGATCAGATTAGATTAGAT